TCCGACGTGATACACAGATTTTAACTTAATTTTGTTGTTCAATATTATTAAATCAACATCAGAAAATTCATAGCGTTATGCGTAAATAGTCAAAACCACGCAGTAAAATAATTCGTAGGTATTTTAAAATTCAAATTTAAGATCCAAATTCACAGTACATTCGCAAAGAGTTCAGGTCATATTAAATCAACATCAGAAAATTCATAGCGTTATGCGTAAATAGTCAAAACCACGCAGTAAAATAATTCGTAGGTATTTTAAAATTCAAATTTAAGATCCAAATTCACAGTACATTCGCAAAGAGTTCAGGTCATATTTTATGTGGGTAACGCATTCCGCAACAACATCGAAGAAGTCTAACTTTCACATATTTTCCCGAAAACTTAGCTTACATACTCAGCTCACTCCTATGCAATCGCAAAAAAATTTAGAAACATGACTCTTTAAGCACATGTCGACAATACTTGATAAAGAAACCTTTTCGCTACCTTGACGAGAAATGAACATGAAAGCTCTCACGATCATAAAATTAAACATCATGTTAGAAGTCATTCTATATTTAAAACCATGCAATTGAAAACATCTCCGAAATACTAAATATTCTCAATGTACGGGAATATTTTATAGGGTTTATGAACCAGGACTAAGACAATTTTCGGACGAACAATTACACAGTGATACAGCAAAAAAATGAAGGGGTTCTCAGTAGGAATATATTTTTAATTTCTCCCGATCACTTCGTTTAGTTCCTCTTTAAGAGCAAAAGATGTGAAAAAGAGCTATTTTTGAAGTTTTAACTTTAAAACAATATATGTTTGGTAGTTTGCAACCGATTTTCAAATTGGATATTTTGTTTTAAAGATACAAGTGTTGTCTTTCAACCCAAAAAAATAAATCCAAAATTTATGATTAATGTCTTGGTAACGGCCATTTAAGTAAAAAAACTCACACTTTTCCAACAATTTTTAATTTTCATACTGCTCTACGTGGGCCATGAAGCAGTAACTTTAGCTTTTATTACATTTGAAAAAAGGCACATTAAGTTGGGTTTCCAATGATGGTCAATTTATGATAATCGATGAAAAAGGTTATGAGTTGTGCTCAGTTTTATAAAAATATAGCATATTTCTTCCATACAAAAATGTTCATGTTTCTGGTTTTCTTTGTAACAAGTTTAAAAAATGTTTATAAACATTTTTATGCAAAAATTAATTTGTATGGAGAAAACCAAAAATTCGAGGAACATGCTATTAGAAAAATTGGCATAAATCATCCAGTTTTTCATAGATTTTTATGAAATAACAAGTTTTAGAAACCTTCCTTTATGTGATTCTTCAGGAAAGTAATAAAAGATGAACTCACTGCCTCATGGCCAAAGTAGAGCATGATGAAAATGAAAATTTTTTAAAAAAGTATGAGTTTTTTACTTAAACGACCGTAACTCAGACATTTGACCATAAATTTTGGATTTCTTTTTTTTGATTAAAAGGCAACACTTGTATCATTAAAAAAAATATCGGATTTGAAAATCGGATGAAAACTACTAAACTTATGATTTTTCAAATTTAAAACTTCAAAAATGGCTCTTTTTCGCATCTTTTGCTCTTAAAAAGTAAGTTAACGAAGTGATAGGGAAAAACTAAAAATATATTCGTACTCTATGGACCATAACGAAATAGAATTGGTATATGAGAACGACTGCATTTTATTTTTCTTCACTTTTGTATCACAGTGTTATTTATAACAATAATATATCAAAATATGTATGGAGGTCCGTGAAATTAAATAAATTCCTCAAGGGGTCCGCGAAGTAAAAAACGGTGGGAACCGCTGGACTAGACTATAGACTAGACTATAGACTAGACTATAGACTAGACTATAGACTAGACTATAGACTAGACTATAGACTAGACTATAGACTAGACTATAGACTAGACTATAGACTAGACTATAGACTAGACTATAGACTAGACTATAGACTAGACTATAGACTAGACTATAGACTAGACTATAGACTAGACTATAGACTAAGCTATAGACTAGACTATAGACTAGACTATAGACTAGACTATAGACTAGACTATAGACTAGACTATAGACTAGACTATAGACTAGACTATAGACTAGACTATAGACTAGACTATAGACTAGACTATAGACTAGACTATAGACTAGACTATAGACTAGACTATAAACTAGACTATAGACTCGACTATAGACTAGACTATAGACTAGACTATAGACTAGACTATAGACTAGACTATAGACTAGACTATAGACTAGACTATAGACTAGACTATAGACTAAACTATAGACTAGACTATAGACTAGACTATAAACTAGACTATAGACTAGACTATAGACTAGACTATAGACTAGATTATAGACTAGACTATAGACTAGACTATAAACTAGACTATAGACTAGACTATAGACTAGACTATAGACTAGATTATAGACTAGACTATAGACTAGACTATAGACTCGACTATAGACTAGACTATAGACTAGACTATGGACTAGACTATAGACTAGACTATAGACTCGACTATAGACTAGACTATAGACTCGACTATAGACTAGACTATAGACTAGACTATAGACTAGACTATAGACTAGACTATAGACTAGACTATAGACTAGACTATAGACTAGACTATAGACTAGACTATAGACTAGACTATAGACTAGACTATAGACTAGACTATAGACTAGACTATAGACTAGACTATAGACTAGACTATAGACTAGACTATAGACTAGACTATAGACTAGACTATAGACTAGACTATAGACTAGACTATAGACTAGACTATAGACTAGACTATAGACTAGACTATAGACTAGACTATAGACTAGACTATAGACTAGACTATAGACTAGACTATAGACTAGACTATAGACTAGACTATAGACTAGACTATAGACTAGACTATAGACTAGACTATAGACTAGACTATAGACTAGACTATAGACTAGACTATAGACTAGACTATAGACTAGACTATAGACTAGACTATAGACTAGACTATAGACTAGACTATAGACTAGACTATAGACTAGACTATAGACTAGACTATTGACTAGACTATAGACTAGACTATAGACTAGACTATAGACTAGACTATAGACTAGACTATAGACTAGACTATAGACTAGACTATAGACTAGACTATAGACTAGACTATAGACTAGACTATAGACTAGACTATAGACTAGACTATAGACTAGACTATAGACTAGACTATAGACTAGACTATAGACTAGACTATAGACTAGACTATAGACTAGACTATAGACTAGACTATAGACTAGACTATAGACTAGGACTATAGACTAGACTATAGACTAGACTATAGACTAGACTATAGACTAGACTATAGACTAGACTATAGACTAGACTATAGACTAGACGATAGACTAGCCTATAGACTAGACTATAGACTAGACTATAGACTAGACTATAGACTAGACTATAGACTAGACTATGACTAGACTATAGACTAGACTATGACTAGACTATAGACTAGACTATAGACTAGACTATAGACTAGGACTATAGACTAGACTATAGACTAGACTATAGACTAGACTATAGGACTAGACTATAGACTAGACTATAGACTAGGACTATAGACTAGACTATAGACTAGACTATAGACTAGACTATAGACTAGACTATAGACTCGACTATAGGACTCGACTATAGACTAGACTATAGACTAGACTATAGACTAGACTATAGACTAGACTATAGACTAGACTATAGACTAGACTATAGACTAGACTATAGACTAGACTATAGACTAGACTATAGACTAGACTATAGACTACTAAGACTAGACTATAGACTAGACTATAGACTAGACTATAGACTAGACTATAGACTAGACTATAGACTAGACTATAGACTAGACTATAGACTAGACTATAGACTAGACTATAGACTAGACTATAGACTAGACTATAGACTAGACTATAGACTAGACTATAGACTAGACTATAGACTAGACTATAGACTAGACTATAGACTAGACTATAGACTAGACTATAGACTAGACTACAGACTAGACTATAGACTAGACTACAGACTAGACTATAGACTAGACTAGACTATAGACTAGACTAGACTATAGACTAGACTAGACTATAGACTAGACTATAGACTAGACTATAGACTAGACTATAGACTAGACTATAGACTAGACTATAGACTAGACTATAGACTAGACTATAGACTAGACTAGACTAGACTATAGACTAGACTATAGACTAGACTATAGACTAGACTATAGACTAGACTATAGACTAGACTATAGACTAGACTATAGACTAGACTATAGACTAGACTATAGACTAGACTATAGACTAGACTATAGACTAGACTATAGACTAGACTATAGACTAGACTAGACTAGACTATAGACTAGACTATAGACTAGACTATAGACTAGACTATAGACTAGACTATAGACTAGACTATAGACTAGACTATAGACTAGACTATAGACTAGACTATAGACTAGACTATAGACTAGACTATAGACTAGACTATAGACTAGACTATAGACTAGACTATAGACTAGACTATAGACAAGACTATAGACTAGACTAGAGACTAGACTATAGTCTAGGCTATATAATAGATTAGACAATAGACTAGACTATAGACTGGACTATATACAAGACTATAGACTAAAGTCTAGACGCGACTATAGACTAGACTGAAGCCTAGACTATAGTCTAAAATATAGACTAGACTATACTACACTATAGACTAGACTATACTTTAGACTAGATTATAGACTAGAAAAAGTTCTGAAATTGTCGTGCGGGCTCTGCGGTAATTTTACGATATTAAAATGTACTAAAGTGCTGAATTTCCCATGCCTGGCGCAGACATTTTTTTAAAGTAATTAACAGAGTTCGTGCTCCAAATTAACTGTGTTAACGTTTAATGTAACTTAACAGCTGTCATGTGAAAAATAACCAAATTTATGTTAAATTTGTAGTAATCTTTATTATTGTTTACATTTAACATCATTATTACAATATACTGCATGTGTTTTTTAGTTTTTTTTTTTTTAACAAACATAAAAATGAAAATTTCTTTTTAACATAAACGCGTTATGTTTATAAAAAAAATTTACTTTAATTAACTAAACTAAACTAAAAATTTCTTAGAAAATTATCAAATTTTTTCTTATCAGTCCAGACACGCACGTCGAAAGTTTTGTTTTTGTTTTCTTATTTTTTTTTTGATTTTGTTCATGTCATTTGAAAACCATGCATGCGTGTTCTTTCTTCATCCGTATAATCGGACATGGAATTAAGACGTCCCTGATATTCAACTTCACCTTTTTTATATTTTAGATTATGTTCCTCGACGATTTTCTTACGCTGAGCCACGATGGCACGTCTACGCCGTTCCTCGCCTTCATCGCCGTACACTTTATTGTTTTTTTTCTGCAAAATTATTGTTGTATTATATTTTAATAATTTTGTTCTTATTTTTTCAATTTAAAATGAAAATAAAACTGATCGAATGATCGTACCTTGTATTCTTCCCACTCTTCGTCCGTTATGGTTGCCATTTTTATTGTGACTGATCCGAAAAATTAAAATACAAAAAAAAAATTAACACAAGTACTTTAATGTTGGAGTAAATAAACAGATGTTTAACTAAAATTGTGGAGAGTGGCCAGATTGCTTGTGGAGATATTAATTCCTATTTTGGATAATTGAAATTCCAGTTATGTAAAGGTATGTTTTGAACATATTATATACTCCAGGTTTTTATTAGATTCTATGATAATCTAGCCATGTCCGTCCGGAAATTCGAAAATTTTCTATAAAAATTGATAATATCGAAAATTTTCTATTTAAAGAGAGAATTTAGAAAATTTTCTATTGAAATTGAGAATTTCAAAAAATTTCTATAGAAATAGAGAATTTAAAAAAATTTCTATAGAATTAGATAATTTCGAAAATTTTCTATAAAAATAGTGAATTTTGATTCGAAAATTGTCTATAAAAATAGAGAATTTTGATTCGAAAATTGTCTATAAAAATAGAGAATTTCGTTTCGAAAATTTTCTATAAAAATAGAGAATTTCGATTCGAAAATTGTCTATAAAATAGAGAATTTCGATTCGAAAATTGTCAATAAAAATGGAGAATTTCGATTAGAAAATTGTCTATAAAAAACGAGAATTTCGAAAATTTTCTATTGAAATAGAGAGTTTCGAAAATTTTCTATAGAAATAGAGAATTTCGAAAATTTTCTATAGAAATAGAGAATTTTGAAATTTTTCTATAGAAATAGAGAATTTTGAAAATTTTCTATAGAAACAGAGAATTTCGAAGATTTTCTATGGAAATAGAGAAATTCGAAAATTTTCTATAGAAACAGAGAATTTCGAAATTTTCTATAAGAAATAGAGAATTTCGAAAATTTTCTATAAAAATAGAGAATTTCGAAAATTTTCTATAAAAATAGAGAATTTCGAAAATTTTCTATAAAAATAGAGAATTTCGAAAATTTTCTATAAAAATAGAGAATTTCGAAAATTTTCTATAAAAATAGAGAATTTCGAAAATTTTCTATAGAAATAGAGAATTTCGAAAATTTTCTATAGAAATAGAGAATTTCGAAAATCTTCTATAGAAATAGAGAATTTCGAAAAGTTTCTATAGAAATAGAGAATTTCGAAAATTTTCTGTAAAAATAGAGCATTTCGAAAATTTTCTATAAAAATAGAGAATTTCGAAAATTTTCTATAAAAAATAGAGAATTTCGAAAATTTTCTATAAAAAATAGAGAATTTCGAAAATTTTCTATAAAAAATAGAGAATTTCGAAAATTTTCTATAAAAAATAGAGAATTTCGAAAATTTTCTATAAAAAATAGAGAATTTCGAAAATTTTCTATAAAAAATAGAGAATTTCGAAAATTTTCTATAAAAAATAGAGAATTTCGAAAATTTTCTATAAAAAATAGAGAATTTCGAAAATTTTCTATAAAAAATAGAGAATTTCGAAAATTTTCTATAAAAAATAGAGAATTTCGAAAATTTTCTATAAAAATAGAGAATTTCGAAAATTTTTTATAAAAATAGAGAATTTCGAAATTGTTCTATAAAAATAAAGAATTTCGAAAATTTTCTAAAAAATAGAGAATTTCGAAAATGTTCTATAAAAATAGAGAATTTCGAAAATTTTTACTAAATTTTTAAAATTCCTCATTTTTGGTTTCTCTCCAATAAAAATAAACGGGTGGCAACTTTAACATTGTGGATGGAAATATTTTCATGAGTGTTTGAAACCAAAAATAAACAAACTAGTTGATTAAACCATTGACTTAGTATTAGGGATGCCAAACGGGACTGGCTTTTACAAATCCCGGGATTCGGGATTTTGAAAATTGCAATCCCGGGATCCCGGGATATTTCGGGATCCCGGGATTTTTCGGGATCCCGGGATTTTTCGGTATTTCGGGATTTTACGGGATTTCGGGATTACATGAATTTAATTATTTTATATATGAAAATCTTTAAATCATCATATTTGTAAAGAAAATTGTTTAATTTTGTGGAAATTTAACAGACAGAAGATATATTTAAATTAAAACAATCCAATTAATTCCAATTTTTAAATAAAAACTTTCAGAATTGAATAATTTCTGAAACTTTTTAAATACATACTTACTTCCTAAATAAAATAAATATCAAGTTCCGAAATTAGACATAAGCACTTTTTAAAACCTCATACTGTTCCACGTGAACTAATAATTATAACAGATACCAATTCAATTATTCGAACATCAATTTAGAACCTATTCTTTGAAAAATATTTGGAATTTTACTCAAAATACATATTAGTTTTGGAACATATTATTATATTCGTAGTATTAATTTAAAATTTTAGGTGCATTCAGAACAAGGTAATTTACCTTTACCGGTATCATTCAGATTTGTAGAAAGTTAGAAATGTAAAATCCTCTAGTATTGAAAAATAAAGTTTGTATTCGACTGTGCCGAAATTAAATACCCACCATCAAAATATTGTAATGTATTGATATTAATATCAGCATCAATGTGATTTTCAGAGGAGGTCCAATTAGGTTTTTTTGTGTCAATTTTGTTCCAAATTTGCAGCCCAAATAGAATGAGTCTTCTAACTCGTGTTTTCAGCTTACAGACACAGAATGTGTATACTTTTTGGGTCGGTCTACGACCAACATTGCAATGTGCTAACAAGTAAAAAGTTATAGTTGGGCGAAGCCTACCATACCCTACACCAGTTATAAAAATAAAATGTGATTTATTGTTCATAATAAAGCATCTAAGTTGAATTGTACCTTGCCTCAGATATAATTTAGCTATTTTTTGTTGAATAAAATTGTGTACATTTAAGTCATATTTCGAAGGGGGCTTTGCATAGGGGCTAGGGTCAAATGAGGCCGCATCATCAAAAAATACATCAGGGTCATGAAGGCTAGTATAGAACTTGGTTTTGCAGCTTTTTGTCGAGTTACGAGTATATTGAACATAATTATGAACTTAAAAACCCTATTTGGGGGGTTCAGTTGTATGGGGGCTAGGTCAAATATTGGACCGATGTTATCCATTTTCAATAGGATCCGTCTCTAGTACAATAGAAGATCATGCAAAATTTCATTGAATTATCTTCAAAATTGCTGTAGTTTGATTACAAGGTTTACACGGACAGACGGACGGACATAGCTAAATCGACTCAGAAAATGATTCTGAGCCGATTGGTATACTTTAAGGTATAGGACCAATATTATTGTGTGTAACAAACATCAGCACAAACCCAATATACCCTACCCACTAAAGTGGTGTAAGGTATAAAAACGAAGTGAATAAATAAATTTATATGTGCTATGTGTATGGACTCATACCACTTTAAAAAATAAAAGGTTCAAATATGTATAAAATTAGCTCTGCGGAATTTTGTTTTGCATGAGTCAAAAATAAAATAAGATCGTAATTTTCAAATTAATGAAAATTATGGCTCAAAAAAAGAAAATAAAAACAGTTTTTTGAAACAAATCCTAATCCCGAAAAAATCCCGGGATTTATTTTCCAAATCCCGGGATTCGGGATTTGCCAATCTTGAAAAATCCCGGGATTTTCGGGATCGGGATTTCGGGATTGGCATCCCTACTTAGTATGATGATTAAAATACCATTCGTGGTTGTATTTATTTTTAAATAAAAGAGAATAAAGAAAGATAAGGAATGATAATGAAAAAAACATGGATTGAAAGAAATACTGAGAGACGGAGAGAGAGAGAGAGAGAAAATATAAATTTATTTGAGTGAAACAAATTTAAACAACAAAGTTGCCAGTTGTTAGAAATTTATGCGTAAAAGTAGAAACAAATATTTGAAAAATGTAACGGTTTTACAAAAGTATTCGACTTCTTTAAAAACAAACACTTTTGTTATATTTTTTTTATATATTTTTTTTATTAATTTTTCTCTTAGCATTTTTTGTTTATTTTTCACTATAATTTTCATTTAAACTTTTATTTTTGCTATAATTTTTCAATAATACTTTTTTTCTTAATGTGTTGTTGTATTTTTCTTTTAATGACTAAATATGTTTTTTTTTTTCATTTGCTATAATTTTGTTTTTCTTTTTCAATAATAATTTATATATTTTTTTTCTTTAATTAATGCCAATTATTGTATTGTTTTCAATAAATATATTTTTTTGTTTTTTTTTCTTTTAACAAAATTAGTTTAGAAATAGTTTTTTTTTTTTTTTGGTATCTTGGTTTTTTGTAAATATTGTATAAGCATTGTATCAATTAATAAATTATTGTTTTTTTTGTTGTTTCAATTTTTCTTTAAAGATTTTAAGCATTGCTTGGTTTTAGGGATATGTTTTCCTAATTTTGGTTTCTTTTATTTTCGAAAATTTTGCTAATAAAAAATAGTTGTTTTATTTTAGAAAAAACGAAATGAGTTTTGGTCGTAAAAGCATTAACTAAACTTTAAATAAACTTTTTAAAGTTATGAACATTTTTGAAATTATTTTAAAAATAGACGAAATACCAGAATATAGGCTAGACTGGTTTATAGACTAGTATACAGACTAGAATATAGACAAGACTGCAGACAAAACTATAGACTAGACTATAAACTAGACTAAAGATATGATTATGGACCAGACAATAGACTACACTATAGGCGAGACAATGGTATATAGTCTAGGCTAAGTGTATTCTACAATCTAGTCTATAGGCCAATCTATAGTGTAGTCTACATTCTAGTTTACATTCTAGTCTATAGACTATTGTCTAGTTTATATTCTAGTCTATTGTCAAGTTTATAGTCTTGTCTAAACCGTAGTCTATAGTATAGTATACAGTTTAGTTAATATTCTAGTTTAGTGCCTAGTCTATAGTCGAGTTTATAGTTCATTCTATAGTCTAATCTATATTATAGTCTATAATCTATTATATAGTCTATTCAATAGTCTAGTTTATAGTCTAAAAACTAGTTAATAGTCTAGAATATTGCTTAGTCTATTGTACAGTTTATAGTTTATAGACTAAACTATAGTCTATAATGTAGTCTAGTCTATAGTATTGTCTATAGTCTAGTCTTTAGTCTAGTCTACAGTCTAGTCTATAGTCTTCTCTATAGTCTAGTCGATAGTCTAGTCTATAGTCTAGTCTGTAGTCTAGTCTATATTCTAGTCTGTAGTCTAGTCTATAATCCATTCTATGATCTTGTCTTTTGTCTAGTCCATATAATCTATATAGACAAAAGACTAGACTATATACTAGTCTATTGACTAGACTATAGACTAGATCATAGAAAAAACTTGTCTAGACTATAAACAAGACTATAGACTAGACTATAGACCAAACTATAGACTAGACTATAGACTAAACTATAGACTAGACTATAGACTAGACTAAAGACTGGACTATAGACTAGACTATAGACTGGACTATAAACTAGACTTTAGACAATACTATAGAGTAGACTACATTATAGACTATAGACTAAACTATAAACTATTTAGTCTTGTCTAAAACGTAGTCTGTATACCAGTCTGTAGTCTAGTCTAATGTAAAGTCTATAGTCTAATTTATAGTCCAGTCTAAATTATAGTCTATTGATAGACTATGTATAGCATAAAGTGTAGTCTATAGTCTAGTTTAAAGTCGACTCCATAGTCCAGTCTACAGTCGATTATATAATCTAGTCTATAGTTTAGCCTATAGTCTATACTATAGTCTAGTCTACAGTCTAATCTTTAGTCTACAGTCTAGTCTTTAGTCTACAGTATAGTCTAGTCTAGTCTAGTCTATAGTCTAGTCTATAGTCTAGTCTATAGTCTCGTCTATAGTCTAGTCTATAGTCTAGTCTATAGTCTAGTCTATAGTCTAGTCTATAGTCTAGTCTATAGTCTAGTCTATAGTCTAGTCTATAGTCTAGTCTATAGTCTGGTATATAGTCTAGTCTATAGTCTAGTCTATAGTCTAGTCTATAGTCTAGTCTATAGTCTAGTCTACAGTCTAGTCATACAGTATAGTCTATAGTCTAGTCTATAGTCTAGTCTATAGTCTAGTCTAAGTCGTCTATAGTCTAGTCTATAGTCTAGTCTATAGTCTAGTCTATAGTTAGTCTATAGTCTAGTCTATAGTCTAGTCTATAGTCTAGTCTATAGTCTAGTCTATAGTTCTAGTCTATAGTCTAGTCTATAGTCTAGTCTATAGTCTAGTCTATAGTCTAGTTCTATAGTCTAGTCTATAGTCTAGTCATATAGTCTAGTCTATAGTCTAGTCTATAGTCTAGTCTATAGTCTAGTCTATAGTCTAGTCTATAGTCTAGTCTATAGTCTAGTCTATAGTCTAGTCTAGTCTATAGTCTAGTCTATAGTCTAGTCTATAGTCTAGTCTATAGTCTAGTCTATAGTCTAGTCTATAGTCTAGTCTATAGTCTAGTCTATAGTCTAGTCTATAGTCTAGTCTATAGTCTAGTCTATAGTCTCTATAGTCTAGTCTATAGTCTAGTCTATAGTCTAGTCTATAGTCTAGTCTATAGTCTAGTCTATAGTCTAGTCTATAGTCTAGTCTATAGTCTAGTCTATAGTCTAGTCTATAGTCTAGTCTATAGTCTAGTCTATAGTCTAGTCTATAGTCTAGTCTATAGTCTAGTCTATAGTCTAGTCTATAGTCTAGTCTATAGTCTAGTCTATAGTCTAGTCTATAGTCTAGTCTAGTCTATAGTCTAGTCTAGTCTAGTCTATAGTCTAGTCTAGTCTATAGTCTAGTCTAGTCTATAGTCTAGTCTAGTCTATAGTCTAGTCTAGTCTATAGTCTAGTCTAGTCTATAGTCTCTAGTCTCTAGTCTAGTCTATAGTCTAGTCTATAGTCTAGTCTATAGTCTAGTCTATAGTCTAGTCTATAGTCTAGTCTATAGTCTAGTCTATAGTCTAGTCTATAGTCTAGTCTATAGTCTAGTCTATAGTCTAGTCTATAGTCTAGTCTATAGTCTAGTCTATAGTCTAGTCTATAGTCTAGTCTATAGTCTAGTCTATAGTCTAGTCTATAGTCTAGTCTATAGTCTAGTCTATAGTCTAGTCTATAGTCTAGTCTATAGTCTAGTCTATAGTCTAGTCTATAGTCTAGTCTATAGTCTAGTCTATAGTCTAGTCTAGTCTAGTCTATAGTCTAGTCTATAGTCTAGTCTATAGTCTAGTCTATAGTCTATACTCTAGTCTATAGTATAGTTTATAGTCTAGTCTATACTCTAGTCTATACTCCAGTCTATAGTCTAGTTTATAGCCTAGTCTATACTCTAGTCTATAGTCTAGTCTATAGTATATTGTATAGTCTATATACCTATATAGTTTATAATCTAGTCTATAGTTTATTCTATAGTCTTGTCTATAGTAAAATCGATGGTGTAGTCTATAGTCTAGTCAATAGACTATTCGATAATCTAGTCTACAGTCTAGTATTTAGTCTAGTCTGTAGTCTAGTTTATAGTCTTGTCTATAGTCTAGTCTAGGATTCAGTCTACTCTATAGTCTATATTCTAGTCTACGGTAGAGTCTACGGTCTAGTTTATAGTCTAGTTTATAGTTTATAGTCTAGTCTTTCTTACATTTTTTAACTCATTTGGACTATAATTTTTCCCACAACTAAACAAAATTATTGGCTTCTGTTTCTTTAAAAAATTAAAAAAGAATACATTATTGTGTGTTTTTTTTTTTTGTTTTAAAGTATTTGGTTTGTTCTTTTATACTTATAAATTGTCTTTATCTTAATATAATTATTTTTTTTTATAATTTAAATGGTTATACGTATATTTAATAGTTTTCTTTTTAAACAAATATAAAATTTACTTTTAATAAATACAAAAATATAAATTAAAAAAACAAACATAAAAAAATTTACAATCAATGTAATAAATAATGAATTAACTAAAAAGACATAAAATTAAATAATTACAGCTAAAAAAGGGTTTTTTTCGAAACAAAATGTCTTTTTATATAAAAAAGATGTTTTGTGTTGCAAAAGTTAAATCAGTTTTTTTTTACACACTAGGATTTGTCCAAATAAGAAATAATAAATAATAAACAGCCTTTTTCTTTTATAAATATTAAACATTAAAAAAAAATTATATATAAATAATAACAAGTTACAATAAATTATAAAAAAAACAATATCATAAATTACATAAAAAACTAATCTAAATTTTTTTCTCGATTTTTTTTTTCACATATAAAATTAACAACAAAAATCCATTCATATGAAATATTTACTAATTTTTTTTTATAATATACACTTTATGTCAGACAAGGGTCGGGCGGGGAGCATTTTATAAGGGGGAGTGTTGTTTTTTTATTTTTATATTTAAAGTATTTGTTCTATTTGTTTTCAATATTTATATTTAAACTTAATTTATTATTGATTTATTTTAATAATTTGGTTTAATTTTTTTCTTTCTTTTTTGTTTTCGTAATTAATTTATGTAAGTGTGTAATGTATGTGTGTATGTGTTTTTTAAAAAGGTACAATTTACTCTTTTCAATTAATAACTTATATGTATTTTGTTGCTGTTGTATGTTAAATTCTCTAAAAAAAAACACATCTCTCTATTAATTGTCTACCGAATTCGTTCTTAATTGTCCATAACAGGCCTGACACACTCTAACGGGTTTTATAATGCGTAGACGTGATATTTCCGATTCAAAACGACTGCATTTATTACAAAACACTTGACCACAATTGCGACAATGATGTTTGCGTTCGTATAAGTTGAATCTGAAAAATAAAGTAAATATTATATTAAAATTAAGAGAGAATAATAGAAAAGAAAAATTTCTCTTTTTTAAAAACAATCCACGAAACTCTCTCTATTTTTATAGAAATTTTTCGAAATTCTCTATTTCTATAGAAAATTTTCGAAATTCTCTATTTTTATAGAAAATTTTCGAAATTCTCTATTTTTATAGAAAATTTTCGAAATTCTCTATTTTTATAGAAAATTTTCGAAATTCTCTATTTTTATAGAAAATTTTCGAAATTCTCTATTTTTATAGAAAATTTTCGAAATTCTCTATTTTTATAGAAAATTTTCGAAATTCTCTATTTTTATAGAAAATTTTCGAAATTCTCTATTTTTATAGAAAATTTTCGAAATTCTCTATTTTTATAGAAAATTTTCGAAATTCTCTATTTTTATAGAAAATTTTCGAAATTCTCTATTTTTATAGAAAATTTTCGAAATTCTCTATTTTTATAGAAAATTTTCGAAATTCTCTATTTCTATAGAAAATTTTCGAAGTTCTCTATTTCTATAGAAAATTTTCGAAGTTCTCTATTTCTATAGAAAATTTTCGAAATTCTCTATTTCTATAGAAAATTTTCGAAATTCTCTATTTCTATAGAAAATTTTCGAAATTCTCTATTTCTATAGAAAATTTTCGAAATTCTCTATTTCTATAGAAAATTTTCGAAATTCTCTATTTCTATAGAAAATTTTCGAAATTCTCTATTTCTATAGAAAATTTTCGAAATTCTCTATTTCTATAGAAAATTTTCGAAATTCTCTATTTTTATAGAAAATTTTCGAAATTTTCTATTTTTATAGAAAATTTTCGAAATTCTCTATTTTTATAGAAAATTTTCGAAATTCTCTATTTTTATAGAAAATTTTCGAAATTCTCTATTTTTATAGACAATTTTCGAAATTCTCTATTTTTATAGAAAATTTTCGAAATTCTCTATTTTTATAGAAAATTTTCGAAATTCTCTATTTTTATAGAAAATTTTCGAAATTCTCTATTTTTATAGAAAATTTTCGAAATTCTCTATTTTTATAGAAAATTTTCGAAATTCTCTATTTTTATAGAAAATTTTCGAAATTCTCTATTTTTATAGAAAATTTTCGAAATTCTCTATTTTTATAGAAAATTTTCGAAATTATCGACTTTTATAGAGAATTTTCGAAATTCTCTCCTTTTATAAAAAATTTTCAAACTTCTCTCTTTTTATAGAGAATCTTTTAAATTCTCTCTTTTTATAGAGAATCTTTTAAATTCTCTCTTTTTATAGAGAATTCTCGAAATTATCTCTTTTTATAGAGATTCTTCGGAATTCTCTCTTTTTATAGTCTAGTCCATAGTCTAGTCTATAATCTAGTCTATAGTCTAGTCTATAGTCTAGTCTATAGTCAAGTCTATAGTCTAGTCTATAGTCTAGTCTATAGTCAAGTCTATAGTCTAGTCTATAGTCTAGTCTATAGTCTAGTCTATAGTCTAGTCTATAGTCTAGTCTATAGTCTAGTCTATAGTCTAGTCTATAGTCTAGTCTATAGTCTAGTCTATAGTCTAGTCTATAGTCTAGTCTATAGTCTAGTCTATAGTCTAGTCTATAGTCTAGTCTATAGTCTAGTCTATAGTCTAGTCTATAGTCTAGTCTATAGTCTAGTCTATAGTCTAGTCTATAGTCTAGTCTATAGTCTAGTCTATAGTCTAGTCTATAGTCTAGTCTATAGTCTAGTCTATAGCCTAGTCTATATCTAGTCTATATCTAGTCTATAGTCTAGTCTATAGTCTAGTCTATAGCCTAGTCTATAGTCTAGTCTATAGTCTAGTCTATAGTCTAGTCTATAGTCTAGTCTATATAGCCTAGTCTATAGTCTAGTCCATAGTCTAGTCTATAGTCTAGTCTATAGTCTAGTCTATAGTCTAGTCTATAGTCTAGTCTATAGTCTAGTCTATAGTCTAGTCTATAGTCTAGTCTATAGTCTAGTCTAGTCTATAGTCTAGTCTATAGTCTAGTCTAGTAGTCTTAGTCTAGTCTAGTCTATAGTCTAGTCTACAGTCTAGTCTATAGTCTAGTCTATAGTCTAGTTCTGAGAAATTTCCATTTTATCGAAATGTATAAAAAACAGCTTCAAAATTGTTTTAAACATAAGTTCGAACTTTCGATATTTTTATCAAAATCTTACAAAAGAGCCGATCAAGTCGACTTTGAAATAAAATTGCGGACAATTTTCTTTGTTAATAATTAAAACTTTCGATATTGGATATGAAGTTTTTCTCAATATGAAAGCTTTCTTAATTACGTATATGACGCTTAAGCCCTTAATTAAGTTTATATTTATAGGTTATATTTTTGCCACTCAATTTTGACGCTAAGTTTGGCTAGCGAATTTGATAAGAATTTGTTAAAAAAGCGTGTTAAAATTTAAACTAAAAGTTTTCAACGGTGTTAGTAAAACTATTTTGTAAATTCTATAATAAACGAATATATATATTTTTTTAATTTAAACAAACATGCTTTAAAAATGTTGGATTAATTAGTTCAACAACTAAAAATTTTACTAAAAATTCTTTACCACCTTTAAAAAATTCACATTTTTAAGAAAAATGCTCACTAAAGGATAGAATACGCGAAAGTCTAACTTCTTTGGGACGCCTAAAAGAGAATAAATATAACAGTTTCAGTAAAAAGTCTAAAGATAGGAAGTCATAAAACCATTTTAAGATAAAGTTTTGTCAGAACTAGTACATGAATTCTATAATTTTCCAAAAATTCCATTACGTACAATAACAGAGTAAGTTTATTGTATTATTTAGGTTTTTGTTTTTATATGCGATTTTAAAAGTCGAGTATTTTGTAAAGTGCTACTTACTTAACATGACACTTAACACATTGATCGGCTCCCTCATCCTTTAGCCAATGATCCGCCACACCCCGTCCTGGTTGTTCAGTAACACACCAGGAATAAATGCGACCGCGGGCATCACCTGAAATAAAAACAAATATTTAAATTATTTAAAACATCTGAAATGGAAAAGCACTAGAACAGAACTAGAACTGAACTAGTTCTGAATTAGAACTGAACTAATACTGAACTAGAACTGAACTAGAACTAAACTAGAACTGAACTAGAACTGAACTAGAACTGAACTAGAACTGAACTAGAACTGAACTAGAACTGAACTAGAACTGAACTAGAACTGAACTAGAACTGAACTAGAACTGAACTAGAACTGAACTAGAACTGAACTAGAACTGAACTAGAACTGAACTAGAACTGAACTAGAACTGAACTAGAACTGAACTAGAACTGAACTAGAACTGAACTAGAACTGAACTAGAACTGAACTAGAACTGAACAAGAACTGAACTAGAACTGAACTAGAACTGAACTAGAACTGAACTAGAACTGAACTAGAACTGAACTAGAACTGAACTAGAACTGAACTAGAACTGAACTAGAACTGAACTAGAATTGAACTAGAACTGTACTAGAACTGACCTAGAACTGAACTAGAACTGAACTAGAACTGAACTAGAACTGAACTTGAACTGAACTAGAACTGAACTAGAACTGAACTAGAACTGAACTAGAACTGAACTAGAACTGAACTAGAACTGAACTAGAACTGAACTAGAACTGAACTAGAACAGAACTAGAACAGAACTAGAACTGAACTAGAACTGAACAGAACTAGAACAGAACTAGAACAGAACTAGAACAGAACTAGAACAGAACTAGAACAGAACTAGAACAGAACTAGAACAGAACTAGAACAGAACTAGAACAGAACTAGAACTAGAACTGAACTAGAACTGAACAGAACAGAACAGAACAGAACAGAACAGAACAGAACAGAACAGAACAGAACTGAACTAGAACAGAACTAGAACAGAACAGAACTAGAACAGAACTAGAACAGAACTAGAACAGAATTAGAACAGAACAGAACTAGAACAGAACTAGAACAGAACTAGAACAGAACTAGAACAGAACTAGAGCAGAACTAGAGCAGAACTAGAACAGAACTAGAACAGAACTACAACAGAACTAGAACAGAACTAGAACAGAACTAGAGCAGAACTAGAACAGAACTAGAACAGAACTAGAACAGAACTAGAACGGAACTAGAACAGAACTAGAACAGAACTAGAACAGAACTAGAACAGAACTAGAACAGAACTAGAACAGAACTAGAACAGAACTAGAACAGAACTAGAACAGAAACTAGAACAGAACTAGAACAGAACTAGAACAGAACAGAACAGAACAGAACAGAACTAGAACAGAACTAGAACAGAACTAGAACAGAACTAGAACAGAATTAGAACAGTACTAGAACAGAACTAGAACAGAACTAGAACAGAACTAGAACAGAACTAGAACAGAACTAGAACAGAACTAGAACAGAACTAGAACAGAACTAGAACAGAACTAGAACAGAACTAGAACAGAACTAGAACAGAACTAGAACAGAACTAGAACAGAACTAGAACAGAACAGAACTAGAACAGAACAGAACAGAACAGACTAGAACAGAACTAGAACAGAACTAGAACAGAACTAGAACAGAACTAGAACAGAACTAGAACTAGAACTAGAACTGAACTAGAACTGAACTAGAACTGAACTAGAACTGAACTAGAACTGAACTAGAACTGAACTAGAACTGAACTAGAACTGAACTAGAACTGAACTAGAACTGAACTAGAACTGAACTAGAACTGAACTAGAACTGAACTAGAACTGAACTAGAACTAGAACTGAACTAGAACTGAACTAGAACTGAACTAGAACTGAACTAGAACAGAACTGAACTAGAACTGAACTAGAACTGAACTAGAACTGACTAGAACTGAACTAGAACTGAACTAGAACTGAACTAGAACTGAACTAGAACTGAACTAGAACTGAACTAGAACTGAACTAGAACTGAACTAGAACTGAACTAGAACTGAACTAGAACTGAACTAGAACTGAACTAGAACTGAACTAGAACTGAACTAGAACTGAACTAGAACTGAACTAGAACTGAACTAGAACTGAACTAGAACTGAACTAGAACTGAACTAGAACAGAAAAGAACTAGAACAGAGAAGAACTAGAACAGAGAAGAACTAGAACAGAGCAGAACTAGAACAGAGAAGATCTGAACTAGAACAGAACTAGAACAGAACTACAACAGAACTAGAACAGAACTAGAACAGAACTAGAACAGAACTAGAACAGAAGAAGAACAGAACTAGAACAGAACTAGAACAGAACTAGAACAGAACTAGAACAGAACTAGAACAGAACTAGAACAGAACTAGAGCAGAACTAGAACAGAACTAGAACAGAACTAGAACTGAACTATAACTGAACTAGAACAGAACTAGAACAGAACTAGAACAGAACTAGAACAGAACTAGAACAGAACTAGAACAGAACTAGAACAGAACTAGAACAGAACCAGAACAGAACTAGAACAGAACTAGAACAGAACTAGAACTGAACTATAACTGAACTAGAACAGAACTAGAACAGAACTAGAACAGAACTAGAACAGAACTAGAACAGAACTAGAACAGAACTAGAACAGAACTAGAACAGAACTAGAACAGAACTAGAACAGAACTAGAACAGAACTAGAAGAGAACTAGAATAGAACCAGAATAGAACTAGAACAGAACTAGAACGGAACTAGAACAGAACTAGAACAGAACTAGAACAGAACTAGAACAGAACTAGAACAGAACTAGAACAGAAGTAGAACAAAACTAGAACAGAACTAGAACAGAACTAGAACAGAAGTAGAACAAAACTAGAACAGAACTAGAACAGAACTAGAACAGAACTAGAACAGAACTAGAACAGAACTAGAACAGAACTAGAACAGAAGTAGAACAGAACTAGAACAGAACTAGAACAGAACTAGAACAGAACTAGAACAGAACTAGAATAGAACCAGAATAGAACCAGAACTGAACTAGAACTGGAACTGAACCACAACTGAAGAAGAATTCTGCAAACTTTGATTTGCCTTTGGTTGGAGGGCAAATGTATTCCTATTTTGTCCGACTTTACTTACCCACATATAATATTTTATGATCTTTTGAAACGGTTAAAGCAGTTATGCTAGCAGGTTCAGCATTATCCTTGCGATCATAAGCTGTATGCATGGTCAGCTTAGATCTAAACATTAATTGACGTTGCCATTTAAAACCTACAAAAAGGAAGAAGAAATTGTTTGATATTTATCTAAAAATATTTTAAATTCCTTTCAAAACTTACCCTTCTTTAAGCAATGTTCACCCTTATGACTGTCAATCATAACAAAACCGTCCGTAAGACTGGTATCCGATTTACTAGGACGTATAGTAGCACGTTCTTCTTCTAAATTCGAAACGAAAAATATACATTTTTAAATGAAATTTATAATTTTTGTGTTGTTAACATACCTTCATTATTTTTCAGGGAATTGGGATGATCTACTGTAGATGATTTAATTTCATGCAAAGATTTTGCTCCCGAAAAAGAACTTTTACGTCTTTCGGAGGTTACCGGCGGCTCACAATCCTTTTTATTGGGTTTATCAGATTGTGTAGAGTTATTCGAATGATTAGAGGCTTCAGATATACTAGACTCAGAAGCAGATTTATGGATTTCTGCGAAAAAAAAAAAAACAAAAGAGAAAATGAGTTTCCATAAAGCGATTTAAAAAACTCCAATACGAACGAACCATTTTCATCATGCGATGATATGCCTTGCATTTGTTTTATAATATCGATTTTCTTCGAACTCTCGCCATTTTTTGTTTCTTCTTCCTCTTTATCGGACTGATTATCAGGATTTTCTTGTGATTTTATCTCAGCGCATCTTTTGAGTTTACGTTCAATCGGTACTTGAACATATTCCAAAGACCACATCTAGAAAATTTTTAAAAATTATGAAAATAAATTGATTTAAAACCTCCTCATGCCCAAAACTTACCCTTACAACACCATCTGTTGACCCGGTTATCACCACATTTTGTTGATCCCATTCACGTATCTGCGAAAAGGCCACACATAATATTTGCTGCATTCGATCCGCACTACCCACACAGGTATTAACCGTGGCCAGAGGATCTCCATTTATTGACCAAACATGCAACCAAGTGGCCGAACAGGTGGCTATATCTCCTGTCAATTCATTTATAGCCACAGCTGCCACTACACCTACATGTCCCCTAAGTTGTCTTACAAATGTAAATCTGGCCATATCCCATACTATGGCTGTTCCATCTCTAGATCCCGATACTATTACATTATAAGCAGCACTTGCTGCTAGACATGTCACCGCATCTGTATGGCCGTGCAGAGAGTGGCGTACCGTCAGACTTTTACGATTCGCATCAAATTTCCATACCGTTATAACAGAGCTGGTGCCAGCTGTTATAATCATTTTGGAGTTGGGGCAAGCACAGGTTAAAATTTCTCCGGAATTTTGGGCGGCTGCTTCCGAGACAAACGAGGCACGATCAGTATCGTAAAGACCGACACGCAGTGAATGATCAGCAAAACCCCATGCTATGTATTTTGTGTATGATGGCGGCATCATAACCTAAAAATTATTAAAATGTTTGAGATCAAAAATAATCCAGTTCAGTGGCTGATCGATCCAGTTTTAGTTTTAGTTTTAGTTTTGTTCTGTTCTGTTCTAGTTTAGTTCTAGTTCAGTTCCAGTTCAGTTCTAGTTCAGCTCTACTTTAGTTTTATTTTAGTTCTATTTCAGTTCTAGTTCAGTTCTAGTTCAGTTTTAGTTCAGTTCTAGCTCAGTTCTAGTTCAGTTCTAGTTCAGTTCTAGTTCAGTTCTAGTTCAGTTCTAGTTCAGTTCTAGTTCAGTTCTAGTTCAGTTCTAGTTCAGTTCTAGTTCAGTTCTAGTTCAGTTCTAGTTCAGTTCTAGTTCAGTTCTAGTTCAGTTCTAGTTCAGTTCTAGTTCAGTTCTAGTTCAGTTCTAGTTCTGTTCTAGTTCTGTTCTAGTTCTGTTCTAGTTCTGTTCTAGTTCTGTTCTAGTTCTGTTCTAGTTCTGTTCTAGTTCTGTTCTAGTTCTGTTCTAGTTCTGTTCTAGTTCTGTTCTAGTTCTGTTCTAGTTCTGTTCTAGTTCTGTTCTAGTTCTGTTCTAGTTCTGTTCTAGTTCTGTTCTAGTTCTAGTTCTGTTCTAGTTCTGTTCTAGTTCTGTTCTAGTTCTGTTCTAGTTCTAGTTCTGTTCTAGTTCTGTTCTAGTTCTAGTTCTGTTCTAGTTCTGTTCTAGTTCTGTTCTAGTTCTGTTCTAGTTCTGTTCTAGTTCTGTTCTAGTTCTGTTCTAGTTCTGTTCTAGTTCTGTTCTAGTTCTGTTCTAGTTCTGTTCTAGTTCTGTTCTAGTTCTGTTCTAGTTCTGTTCTAGTTCTGTTCTAGTTCTGTTCTAGTTCTGTTCTAGTTCAGTTCTAGTTCAGTTCTAGTTCAGTTCTAGTTCAGTTCTAGTTCAGTTCTAGTTCAGTTCTAGTTCAGTTCTAGTTCTTTCTAGTTCTGTTCTAGTTCTGTTCTAGTTCTGTTCTAGTTTCTGTTTCTAGTTTCTGTTCTAGTTCTGTTCTAGTCTGTTAGTTCTGTTCTAGTTCTGTTCTAGTTCTGTTCTAGTTCTGTTCTAGTTCTGTTCTAGTTCTGTTCTAGTTCTGTTCTAGTTTCTAGTTCTGTTCTAGTTCTGTTCTAGTTCTGTTCTAGTTCTGTTCTAGTTCTGTTCTAGTTCTGTTCTAGTTCTGTTCTAGTTCTGTTCTAGTTCTGTTCTAGTTCTGTTCTAGTTTCTGTTCTAGTTCTGTTCTAGTTCTGTTCTAGTTCTGTTCTAGTTCTGTTCTAGTTCTGTTCTAGTTCTGTTCTAGTTCTGTTCTAGTTCTGTTCTAGTTCTGTTCTAGTTCTGTTCTAGTTCTGTTCTAGTTCTTTCTAGTTCTGTTCTAGTTCTGTTCTAGTTCTGTTCTAGTTCTGTTCTAGTTTCTGTTCTAGTTCTGTTTCTAGTTCTGTTCTAGTTCTGTTCTAGTTTCTGTTCTAGTTCTGTTCTAGTTCTGTTCTAGTTCTGGTTCTAGTTCTGTTCTAGTTCTGTTCTAGTTCTGTTCTAGTTCTGTTCTAGTTCTGTTCTAGTTCTGTTCTAGTTCTGTTCTAGTTCTGTTCTAGTTCTGTTCTAGTTCTGTTCTAGTTCTGTTCTAGTTCTGTTCTAGTTCTGTTCTAGTTCTGTTCTAGTTCTGTTCTAGTTCTGTTCTAGTTCTGTTCTAGTTCTGTTCTAGTTCTGTTCTAGTTCTGTTCTAGTTCTGTTCTAGTTCTGTTCTAGTTCTGTTCTAGTTCTGTTCTAGTTCTGTTCTAGTTCTGTTCTAGTTCTGTCTAGTTCTGTTCTAGTTCTGTTCTAGTTCTGTTCTAGTTCTGTTCTAGTTCTGTTCTAGTTCTGTTCTAGTTCTGTTCTAGTTCTGTTCTAGTTCTGTTCTAGTTCTGTTCTAGTTCTGTTCTAGTTCTGTTCTAGTTCTGTTCTAGTTCTGTTCTAGTTCTGTTCTAGTTCTGTTCTAGTTCTGTTCTAGTTCTGTTCTAGTTCTGTTCTAGTTCTGTTCTAGTTCTAGTTCTGTTCTAGTTCTGTTCTAGTTCTGTTCTAGTTCTGTTCTAGTTCTGTTCTAGTTCTGTTCTAGTTCTGTTCTGTTCTAGTTCTGTTCTAGTTCTGTTCTAGTTCTGTTCTAGTTCTGTTCTAGTTCTGTTCTAGTTCTGTTCTAGTTCTGTTCTAGTTCTGTTCTAGTTCTGTTCTAGTTCTGTTCTAGTTCTGTTCTAGTTCTGTTCTAGTTCTGTTCTAGTTCTGTTCTAGTTCTGTTCTAGTTTGTTCTAGTTCTGTTCTAGTTCTGTTCTAGTTCTGTTCTAGTTCTGTTCTAGTTCTGTTCTAGTTCTGTTCTAGTTCTGTTCTAGTTCTGTTCTAGTTCTGTTCTAGTTCTGTTCTAGTTCTGTTCTAGTTCTGTTGTAGTTCTGTTCTAGTTCTGTTCTAGTTCTGTTCTAGTTCTGTTCTAGTTCTGTTCTAGTTCTGTTCTAGTTCTGTTCTAGTTCTCTGTTCTCTAGTTCTGTTCTAGTTCTGTTCTAGTTCTGTTCTAGTTCTGTTCTAGTTCTGTTCTAGTTCTGTTCTAGTTCTGAGTTCTGTTCTAGTTCTGTTCTAGTTCTGTTCTAGTTCTGTTCTAGTTCTGTTCTAGTTCTGTTCTAGTTCTGTTCTAGTTCTGTTCTAGTTCTGTTCTAGTTCTGTTCTAGTTCTGTTCTAGTTCTGTTCTAGTTCTGTTCTAGTTCTGTTCTAGTTCTGTTCTAGTTCTGTTCTAGTTCTGTTCTAGTTCTGTTCTAGTTCTGTTCTAGTTCTGTTCTAGTTCTGTTCTAGTTCTGTTCTAGTTTCTGTTCTAGTCTGTTCTAGTTCTGTTCTAGTTCTGTTCTAGTTCTGTTCTAGTTCTGTTCTAGTTCTGTTCTAGTTCTGTTCTAGTTCTGTTCTAGTTCTGTTCTAGTTCTGTTCTAGTTCTGTTCTAGTTCTGTTCTAGTTCTGTCTAGTTCTGTTCTAGTTCTGTTCTAGTTCTGTTCTAGTTCTGTTCTAGTTCTGTTCTAGTTCTGTTCTAGTTCTGTTCTAGTTCTGTTCTAGTTCTGTTCTAGTTCTGTTCTAGTTCTGTTCTAGTTCTGTTCTAGTTCTGTTCTAGTTCTGTTCTAGTTCTGTTCTAGTTCTGTTCTAGTTCTGTTAGTTCTGTTCTAGTCTTCTAGTTCTGTTCTAGTTCTGTTCTAGTTCTGTTCTAGTTCTGTTTCTAGTTCTGTTCTAGTTCTGTTCTAGTTCTGTTCTAGTTTTTGTTCTAGTTTCTGTTCTAGTTTATTCTAGTTCTATTCTAGTTCTGTTCTAGTTCTGTTCTAGTTCTGTTCTAGTTCTGTTCTAGTTCTGTTCTAGTTCTGTTCTAGTTCTGTTTTAGTTCTGTTCTAGTTCTGTTCTAGTTCTGCTCTAGTTTCTGTTCTAGTTCTGTTCTAGTTCTGTTCTAGTTCTGTTCTAGTTCCTGTTCTTTTCTGTTCTAGTTCTATTCTAGTCTGTTCTAGTGCTCTTCTGTTCCAGTTCTTTTATATTCCTCTTACCTTATTTTTTTCCACAGCAAAAACAGTCTTATCCGGTTGCAGTATCTGACCCACAGGACCTTTCAGTTCCTTAATGGGCTGTAAACTGGGCTTGAGATTATCCAAATTATGGAAGAACAAACGATCGGATTGTAAAACAGTAGTATTGCCTTGTATTAAAGCGCTAGGATCAATTAAAGTTGAATGTCTGTTGCCAGACATTTTCTTGGCGGGATGGGGTTTCTTAAACAATTGTTTAGGAATCTGGCCAAAGTTGTTAATGAAACCAATAGTGGCATTTTTCTTTAAAGGATCATCGATACTGAAAAATACAAAAACATGTGTTAAACAGAATTTTTAGTTCAACAGTTTTACAAACAAATTACTTGTAAATATCCACATTGCCCTCATAGAAAAGATGATGGAAAACATTAATGGCTTCTACCGCGGCAGGACCTTGTTGTTTGTGGCCAAATATTAAATCGATCCACTGTTTTTTTAATAGAAATATTTTGATTAAAAATTTACTTTTATATTACAAAAAATAGTTTGTTTTCAACTTACCAAATGTAAATTTTGACTAACATAATCACATTCCAAGGCACTGCGATGTACCCTTATAAACTCTCTAGGGTCTTGTTTAGCCCAGGGCGGCAATATTACATTATTTAAAGTTTCACCATTTTGTTTGGTACCTTTTTAACGAAAAAGTTTAAACATTTTAAATTTCAATAATAAAGTAGAACATTGATAAAGATCTTTACCCAAATCAAAATTATTTGAATTTGTAACAAATTCGGGGAGGTAGAAAAATTCAGGTATCAACTCCTTAACATCAGCCATATTGAATTTCGAAGCCGATAGCCAGGCTTCTTTTATGCTATGAAACATGCGATCAGCTAAATCAAAATGACCACCTTGTAAACGCAAGAAATGTTGACTGAATGGCTCCAGACGCACCAAATATGAGCAGACTATCATGGCGGAGCTGTAATGAGTGCCATAGTGATATGGTGGTGTTTCACCCTGAGGATCATCCCATTCCTTGGAAGATTTATGTAATAGTATTAACATATTATAATTAGCGTAAAAGAAAATTTATGAACTAACCTTAAATCTTTTTTGAAATTGTTCTAAGCGTTCTTCGGATTGTGCTCCCATGGGTTTTGAGAAATCACGGAATGTTTTTGGATTATTAAAATCCAATTCTTCGGAATCATAATCAGCTAAAATCCAGGGAAAAACTGGATATTGCATGAGATCATTATAGGAACGACCAGCCAGAGTATTTAAATGCATTAAATATTGGAAGTTAGAAATTTCACCACGCTGAAAAGGAAAATAAAACAAACTTAAAAAATAAACTTTTTAAATCGATGTCGAAATTCCAATTTTGGTTCATTTCTCGTTCAGTTCTAGTTTAGTTCTACTTCAGATATAGTTCAGTTCTACTTCAGTTCAAGTTAAGTTCTAGTTCAGTTCTATTCTAGTTCAGTTCTAGTTCTGTTCTAGTTCTGTTCTAGTTCTGTTCTAGTTCTGTTCTAGTTCTGTTCTAGTTCTGTTCTAGTTCTGTTCTAGTTCTGTTCTAGTTCTGTTATAGTTCTGTTCTAGTTCAGTTCTAGTTCTGTTCTAGTTCTGTTCTAGTTCTGTTCTAGTTCTGTTCTAGTTCTGTTCTAGTTCTGTTCTAGTTCTGTTCTAGTTCTGTTCTAGTTCTGTTCTAGTTCTGTTTTAGTTCTGCTCTAGTTCTGCTCTAGTTCTGCTCTAGTTCTGTTCTAGTTCTGTTCTAGTTCTGTTCTAGTTCTGTTCTAGTTCTGTTCTAGTTCTGTTCTAGTTCTGTTCTAGTTCTGTTCTAGTTCTGTTCTAGTTCTGTTCTAGTTCTGTTCTAGTTCTGTTCTAGTTCTGTTCTAGTTCTGTTCTAGTTCTGTTCTAGTTCTGTTCTAGTTCTGTTCTAGTTCTGTTCTAGTTCTGTTCTAGTTCTGTTCTAGTTCTGTTCTAGTTCTGTTCTAGTTCTGTTCTAGTTCTGTTCTAGTTCTGTTCTAGTTCTGTTCTAGTTCTGTTCTAGTTCAGTTCTGTTCTAGTTCTGTTCTAGTTCTAGTTCTGTTCTAGTTCAGTTCTAGTTCAGTTCTAGTTCAGTTCTAGTTCAGTTCTAGTTCAGTTCTAGTTCAGTTCTAGTTCAGTTCTAGTTCAGTTCTAGTTCAGTTCTAGTTCAGTTCTAGTTCAGTTCTAGTTCAGTTCTAGTTCAGTTCTAGTTCAGTTCTAGTTCAGTTCTAGTTCAGTTCTAGTTCAGTTCTAGTTCAGTTCTAGTTCAGTTCTAGTTCAGTTCTAGTTCAGTTCTAGTTCAGTTCTAGTTCAGTTCTAGTTCAGTTCTAGTTCAGTTCTAGTTCAGTTCTAGTTCAGTTCTAGTTCAGTTCTAGTTCAGTTCTAGTTCAGTTCTAGTTCAGTTCTAGTTCAGTTCTAGTTCAGTTCTAGTTCAGTTCTAGTTCAGTTCTAGTTCAGTTCTAGTTCAGTTCTAGTTCAGTTTAGTTCGGTTCTAGTTCAGTTCTAGTTCAGTTCTAGTTCAGTTCTAGCTAAGTTCTAGTTAAGTTCTAGTTCAGAATTCTAGTTCAGTTCTAGTTCAGTTCTAGTTCAGTTTCTAGTTCAGTTCTAGTTCAGTTCTAGTTCAGTTCTAGTTCAGTTCTAGTTCAGTTCTAGTTCAGTTCTAGTTCAGTGTTCTAGTGTTCAGTTCTAGTTCAGTTCTAGTTTCAGTTCTAGTTCAGTTCTAGTTCAGTTTCTAGTTCAGTTCTAGTTCAGTTCTAGTTCAGTTCTAGTTCAGTTCTAGTTCAGTTCTAGTTCAGTTCTAGTTCAGTTCTAGTTCAGTTCTAGTTCAGTTCTAGTTCAGTTCTAGTTCAGTTCTAGTTCAGTTCTAGTTCAGTTCTAATTCAGTTCTAGTTCTGTTCTAGTTCTGTTCTAGTTTTGTTCTAGTTCTGTTCTAGTTCTGTTCTAGTTCTGTTCTAGTTCTGTTCTAGTTCTGTTCTAGTTCTGTTCTAGTTCTGTTCTAGTTCTGTTCTAGTTCTGTTCTAGTTCTGTTCTAGTTCTGTTCTAGTTCTGTTCTAGTTCTGTTCTAGTTCTGTTCTAGTTCTGTTCTAGTTCTGTTCTAGTTCTGTTCTAGTTCTGTTCTAGTTCTGTTCTAGTTCTGTTCTAGTTCTGTTCTAGTTCTGTTCTAGTTCTGTTCTAGTTCTGTTCTAGTTCTGTTCTAGTTCTGTTCTAGTTCTGTTCTAGTTCTGTTCTAGTTCTGTTCTAGTTCTGTTCTAGTTCTGTTCTAGTTCTGTTCTAGTTCTGTTCTAGTTCTGTTCTAGTTCTGTTCTAGTTCTGTTCTAGTTCTGTTCTAGTTCTGTTCTAGTTCTGTTCTAGTTCTAGTTCTGTTCTAGTTCTGTTCTAGTTCTGTTCTAGTTCTGTTCTAGTTCTGTTCTAGTTCTGTTCTAGTTCTGTTCTAGTTCTGTTCTAGTTCTGTTCTAGTTCTGTTCTAGTTCTGTTCTAGTTCTGTTCTAGTTCTGTTCTAGTTCTGTTCTAGTTCTGTTCTAGTTCTGTTCTAGTTCTGTTCTAGTTCTGTTCTAGTTCTGTTCTAGTTCTGTTCTAGTTCTGTTCTAGTTCTGTTCAAGTTCTGTTCTAGTTCTGTTCTAATTATGTTCTAATTCTGTTCTAGTTCGAAGTTCTGTTTACTTACCACCCATCTTTGTGTTACGGACGTTTCACCTATCAAACTACTAAATATACCCGACGTCTGTTCCACACTTGCTGTCCTCTTTTGACCAGCCACCGATTGTTGTGCATTATCATTAATTGCAGTAGCATGAGCCATAAAACGTTGATAGACCTTGTTACGGACTTTGCGTGGAAAACTTAACAAATAATTGCGACCATCCTCTGAGAATACCTCCAAAGCAATGGGCTGCAACAAATAACGTCTTTTGTGGACTTCACGTATCTCCTCATAACCGAATTTCGAACATTGACGAATTTTACATTGTCTTGTAGTGCCACCAGAGTTGGGTATTATGGGTTCATAGGCTCCCGGAGGCAGGGTATCAATATCCTTTATTTCCCTATTCTTTAGAAGAGTAAAACCATCTACAATATAACAATGTTCTTTGCCGAACAGCAAAAGACCTTCAAAGGTATCGAGACCTTGAATGCGAGCACATCTAAACATAAATGAGATTTTCTCTTGTTCCTCTAACAATCTGAGGAATGTTTCGTTATCGGCAATATTGGTCATTTCCTCTTCCTCTTCGTCATCATCTTGATTGGTGCCATCTACCGATTCTTGTGCTTGATGTGCTAAACGATTTTCGTGGGGCGAAGGTGGTGGTGTATTAGCCGAACCACCCGGTTCACTTTTTGACGATTGATGTAATTGAGGATGTGGCTGCTTCAGCATATTGGCATCTACGGAATGTTGTTGATGCAGTAACTGATGTTGAGCGGCGGCATCAGTTTCGCAGAGAATACGTGGTGGCTGCTGACAATGTGTATAATAGATTTTACTATCAAAGCTAGAGGCAACTTTATTGGCCTTTAATTGACGCGTATCGGTGCGATGATCATTCTCCGGACGATAGGGATAATGTAGATAGAAAAGTTCATTACGCATAGTTTTCTTGCGCATACGATGTGGTCCTTCGGTTGTATCGAGTATCCATTTGTCTAGAGTGGATATACCCTCAGGACCCCAGAGACCACGTTCGCGGGTCAATTCCGTTTCGGACTGTAACCAATCCTGGTGTACATAGCGTTGAGTGTGCTGCAACATTTGAAGGTATTGTTTGCAACGCAACTCCCAAAGATCCCTGGAACAAATGGTGTGAATTATTGGTCAATAATTATAGTTTCGAATTTAGTTCTAGTTCAGTTCTAGTTCAGTTCTATTTCATTTCTAGTTCAGTTCTAGTTCAGTTCTAGTTCAGTTCTAGTTCAGTTCTAGTTCAGTTCTAGTTCAGTTCTAGTTCAGTTCTAGTTCAGTTCTAGTTCAGTTCTAGTTCAGTTCTAGTTCAGTTCTAGTTCAGTTCTAGTTCAGTTCTAGTTCAGTTCTAGTTCAGTTCTAGTTCAGTTCTAGTTCAGTTCTAGTTCAGTTCTAGTTCAGTTCTAGTTCAGTTCTAGTTCAGTTCTAGTTCAGTTCTAGTTCAGTTCTAGTTCAGTTCTAGTTCAGTTCTAGTTCAGTTCTAGTTCAGTTCTAGTTCAGTTCTAGTTCAGTTCTAGTTCAGTTCTAGTTCAGTTCTAGTTCAGTTCTAGTTCTAGTTCAGTTCTAGGTTCAGTTCTAGTTCAGTCTAGTTCAGTTCTAGTTCAGTTCTAGTTCAGTTCTAGTTCAGCTAGTTCAGTTCTAGTTCAGTTCTTGTTCAGATCTAGTTCAGTTCTAGTTCAGTTCTAGTTCATTCTAGTTCAGTTCTAGTTCAGTTCTAGTTCAGTTCTAGTTCAGTTCTAGTTCAGTTCTAGTTCAGTTCTAGTTCAGTTCTAGTTCTAGTTCAGTTCTAGTTCAGTTCTAGTTCTAGTTCTAGTTCAGTTCTAGTTCAGTTCTAGTTCAGTTCTAGTTCAGTTCTAGTTCAGTTCTAGTTCAGTTCTAGTTCAGTTCTAGTTCAGTTCTAGTTCAGTTCTAGTTCAGTTCTAGTTCAGTTCTAGTTCTAGTTCAGTTCTAGTTCAGTTCTAGTTCAGTTCTAGTTCAGTTCTAGTTCAGTTCTAGTTCAGTTCTAGTTCAGTTCTAGTTCTAGTTCAGTTCTAGTTCAGTTCTAGTTCAGTTCTAGTTCAGTTCTAGTTCAGTTCTAGTTCAGTTCTAGTTCAGTTCTAGTTCAGTTCTAGTTCAGTTCTAGTTCAGTTCTAGTTCAGTTCTAGTTCAGTTCTAGTTCAGTTCTAGTTCAGTTCTAGTTCAGTTCTAGTTCAGTTCTAGTTCAGTTCTAGTTCAGTTCTAGTTCAGTTCTAGTTCAGTTCTAGTTCAGTTCTAGTTCAGTTCTAGTTCAGTTCTAGTTCAGTTCTAGTTCAGTTCTAGTTCAGTTCTAGTTCAGTTCTAGTTCAGTTCTAGTTCAGTTCTAGTTCAGTTCTAGTTCAGTTCTAGTTCAGTTCTAGTTCAGTTCTAGTTCAGTTCTAGTTCAGTTCTAGTTCAGTTCTAGTTCAGTTCTAGTTCAGTTCTAGTTCAGTTCTAGTTCAGTTCTAGTTCAGTTCTAGTTCAGTTCTAGTTCAGTTCTAGTTCAGTTCTAGTTCAGTTCTAGTTCAGTTCTAGTTCTGTTCTAGTTCAGTTCTAGTTCAGTTCTAGTTCAGTTCTAGTTCAGTTCTAGTTCAGTTCTAGTTCAGTTCTAGTTCAGTTCTAGTTCAGTTCTAGTTCAGTTCTAGTTCAGTTCTAGTTCAGTTCTAGTTCAGTTCTAGTTCAGTTCTAGTTCAGTTCTAGTTCAGTTCTAGTTCAGTTCTAGTTCAGTTCTAGTTCAGTTCTAGTTCAGTTCTAGTTCAGTTCTAGTTCAGTTCTAGTTCAGTTCTAGTTCAGTTCTAGTACAGTTCTAGTTCAGTTCTAGTTCAGTTCTAGTTCAGTTCTAGTTCAGTTCTAGTTCAGTTCTAGTTCAGTTCTAGTTCAGTTCTAGTTCAGTTCTAGTTCAGTTCTAGTTCAGTTCTAATTCAGTTCTAGTTCATTTCTACTTCAGTTCTAGTTCAGTTCTAGTTCAGTTCTAGTTCAGTTCTAGTTCAGTTCTAGTTCAGTTCTAGTTCAGTTCTAGTTCAGTTCTAGTTCAGTTCTAGTTCAGTTCTACTTCAGTTCTAGTTCAGTTCTACTTACTTTATCAACTGCACATGTATCCCGGTACATTCGAAAGCATGCTCCTTCCGCATATTTGATTTTGTGCGAACTAATTCATCTTTCTTCACTTTTGTACGACTGGCAAGACGAGTCAAACCACCGGTTACCTTTTGTATCTTAGATTGTATTTGATTGTGTATTTCCCAGGGTATACGATAGGAGGCCTTACGCTCAGCATCCACATAATTAAACCATAGCTTAGAAGCCAATTCCATAACCTGCTCACGTGTGGTTTGTAAATCGGGAGCCTTTGAATTAGCCGGAGGAGCACATAGGCTAACTTTGAAAACCTCCTCGATGGCAGGCTTTTTACAGACATACAACTCCTCCCAAACACGGAAGGCAGCGCCGACAATTAGATTGCGACCCTTGATAAGGAAGAAATTAATAAATAAAGCTAAAATGGAAATATTTCTTTAAATGTACCTGTAACTGATTTAAATCCTCATCCTTGGGCTCTATTATATCCGCCTGCGGATTTACATGCCAGGTGGTATTGCGAGTCGTCGAAGGCTCCAGTATAATTTTCATATCCGAAGTCAATTGCAGCAAACAGTATGTCAAACAGCCTATAAATTCCAACTCATGGTTACCGGCTCCAAATATTAACAATCTATGGGTGATGATTTTATGTAAAGCCTCCAAAACGCTCATTTGCTCTGTTATGGCCTCCGTGGGTCTTGACAATAAGTATAAAATAGTGCGGTTTAGGGAGTGATGTAATTGTTCTAATGACAAAGAAGAGGATCTGCGCTTGGCTTGTGCTATTAATTTGATAATAAAATCAAAAATCTCATGAGGATTACGAGTCAAACAACCCTGCCACATTTTGTCTACCACACGTGCGGTAAAATAGAAAACATTGGGAGCTATATGTTGAGTATGACTCTGAGTTAGCGGCACCAAAGAGAGAGCAGCCTGTTCTCCCAGCAAAATATCAGCGGCCAATAAATGATCCATAAGAGCGGTTATTATTTCAGTTTGATATTCAATTTGTAAAGGTATTTCCGAATTATCGGGAGAAGCATCTAATACGAGATCAATAACCGGCGTAGTTTTACCATGCATATTTAGACTTAAGGAATCTACAACAATAACCCGTAAGAAATCTATAATACATTTACGCACAGGATGATTGGTTAGTTTAGTTATAGATTGTTGACTGCTGACGCTCGAATTTAAAAGGAAACAGTTGGATTCCTCTACCGGCGAAGAATTGCCACTATTGGGTTCCGATTCTATAGTATCTTCTTTACTGTTGTTGGGAAAAAGCACCGCTACCAAAGAGGATATAACATCGCCGGTCATCATAACGGGCATAAAGTCGGTAAGATTTTGATAGAGACTGAATAAAAGTTGTATTATAGTCTCGGGATGATTGGTAAGCCAAGGAGCCAATTCACCACCATGTACTATAGCTCTAACCATGCCCAAAAGAACGCAAACAGCCTCGGGACATATATTCATTTTGGGTATATTTGTATTGGCTGAGACGGGAGCGCCCCATAGGAAAGACCAAACACGATCTAAATCAAATTTGGTGTGCTCGGTAGCCAAGAGTTTAACCGGTTGGCCCATTATTAAGGCGGTTATCAGGAAATAAAGTTCCGGAACATCCAAATGATATTGCAAAAGCCATTCCAACATTTGGAAGCCTAAAACGGCAACATATTCAGATAAAATTCCCATTCTTAAACTTCCTATCAACTTACCTGGTATATTTAAAGCCGCCGTTCTCACCTCACCTGCTATGTGTGTGGGCAAATGTTGTAAAACATTTGAAGAGGAGACAATCACTGTACCCGACCCCGAAGACGGACGATTGCTTAACTGTTGAGCCCCTATGCCCATGGTTTTCTTTTGCGAAACCATTTCGGTAAATCTCAAATAACCACCATTATGGGTGCTATCACGAAAACGTACCAGAAAACTTTCATTGGCACATACCACCACCAAAATACGTACGGCTATGATGACAGTGGTAAAGTGTACATGCGGTTGCATAAATAGCAATAGCCAATCCATGCCTAAAGTCTTAGAAATATCATCGCATATAATATAATTGACGGTGTTGCGTGAGGTAAATAGGAGGCCGTGTAATAGAGAAAGACAACGATTACGTAGATAAATATTTTGAGCAGTCGTATCGTATTCGGCAGTAGCAGCTGAATTGGAAGGATTCGGGGTGGGTTTCATTGAGGGTAAGATCAGAGACTTTTCGATCTGCTCTGCCTTGGGTAATTTGGAAGCGCAGTATTGGCCGAAAAGCAATAGGTCTGTGTGGCGTGGTTGACCACCTAATAAAGCTTCTACCAGATTGAAGAGTATCTCTCGTGTGGAGTGATCTTGTATATCCACTATTATGTACAGTAATTTATTAAGTAATTGCAGTTCTCGCATTATTTTAACATTTTGTTTCTTTTCATTCGATTCCACCGCCAGCTCCAGTAAATGTTCCAGTAATGATCTCAATAAACCATTTGGAGCATTATGCCATATATCCAAATCACATAAGAGATCCTGGAAAGCTGTTACATTAGGTATGGCGGTCATATCCTGGCCGGAATTGACAGTACCCACTAAACCGAAAGTGAGATGTAAAATATGAGAGTTGAGTAAGTTCTTTTTCTTTTTGAAAAACATGCCCAAAGTTTGATAGCAACGTTTACGATCCATTTCACTTTGGGCCGCACGATTACTGCGCACTACACAGGTTAAAGCCTTAACACCAGCATACAAAGACTCCACATCTTGAGCCATGGCTATAATGCCCAATAAAACATTGCAGCCTCCCACGGTATCAATCATGGCTGAGACGGGATGAGGACTAAAAACTCTTACACCCAAATAACCCACCACTACACCACCCAAAGTGCGACCAGCTCCCGCTAAATGTCCTGCCGAATTGTGCAGGATTCTTGGAAATAAAGCAAATTTTAAATAGAAAGTTTTATTTATTATCTATTGCCTCAAATACCTTAAAGATCTACTTACTTTATAGGCGTGGCATTCTCATGGGAATTCATGCCCAACTGCTTGGCTATAGACTTATTATCCGCTCTGCTATACACTTTTCTTATCTTCACCAGCGTCAACTGCGACACCGCCTTAGCATTTAAGCCCAATAACACCTTCTCTTCGGCCACTAACGGACCCAAAGGCTCTACCTTTTTACCCAATTGAGGTGCCTGCAATGAGCCCATATAGTGTGGTCCCAAATTATAGATGGTCTGTACGGTCTGTTGATTAACTACATCTTCGAGTAGATGACAAACACCCTGTTTCCAGCACAATCTAGAATAACGTCTCCAAATGGGTGGAGTACCGACATAACCAAATACCGAAGTTGCTACGGGTAAGTTAGCGGAACCAGCTCCGGGATTTTGTGAGATATAATGTAATTTTTGGGAATGCAAGGGTGCTCCGTCTAGATAGAGCTGAAGACTGGAGTTTTTGAGTACAGCACGATTGAGTACTACCACCAAATGATGCCATTGTCCTTCGTGCAGCAGATCGGGACACCAAATGCGTGCACTGTTGTCGTCCGAACCTTCAGGTTCCCAATCGCCGAGGCCTGTGAATATAATATAAGTTTCAGGTGAGGTTTTTCGTTAAGAAAGACATTTAAAAGAATCAGGATATAGATTGTTCCTTGACTATAGAAAGAGTCATAATTTGGTAAAAGAGCTACGATAGAAATTATTCTTAAACTACTAAGAGATGATTCTGAGACTACCTAGAGAGCCGCGATGGAGATTGTTCATAAACTATTAAAAGAGCCATGATAGGGATTGTTCCTAGACTTCCTAGAGAACAACGATTGGGATCGTTCCTAAACTATTAAAGGAGCTACGATTGGGACTGTTTCAAGACTACTAAAAGAGCTACGATTGGGGTTGTTTCTAGAATACTTCGAGCTAGGATTCTGATTGTTCCTAGACTAATTGGAGAGTTACTATTGGGATTGTTGCTTGACTACTTCGAGAGCTACGATTGGGATTGTTCCCAGACTACTTAGAGTGACACCATTAAGATTGTTCCTAGACTACTAAAGGAGCCACGATTGAAATTGCTTCAAAACTACTTAAAGAGCCAATATTGGTATACTTTCTAAACAACAAAAGAAGCATCGAACAGGATTGTTTCTAATCTACTTAAAGAGCCAAGGGATTGCTCCTAGACTCCTAAAGGAGCCGCGATTGAAATTGTTTCTAAACTACTAAAAGATCTACGACCCTAAACTTCCATGAAAGCTGGGATTGTGACTGTTTAAAAACCTTTAATTTCCAACATTTGAGATTCGATCTCGACCGATTGATTGGTAAAAGAGCTACGATATAGATTATTCTTAAACGACTAAGAGATGATTTTGAGACTACCTAGAGAGCCGCAATGGAGATTGTTCATAAACTATTAAAAGAGCCACGATAGGGATTGTTCCTAGACTTCCTAGAGAACAACGATTGGGATTGTTCCTAAACTATAAAGGGAGTTACGATTGGGACTGTTTCTAGACTACTAAAAGAGCTACGATTGGGGTTGTTCCTAGACTACTAAAAGAGCCATGATTCGGATTGTTCCTTGACTACTAAAAGAGCTACGATTGGAATTGTTCCTAGAATACTTCAAGAGCTAGGATTGTGATTGTTCCTAGACTAATTGGAGAGTTACGATTGGGATTGTTCCCTGACTACTTCGAGAGCTACGATTGGGATTGCTCCCAGACTACTTAGAGTGCCACCATTAAGATTGTTCCTAGACTACTAAAGGAGTCACGATTGAAATTGCTCCAAAACTACTTAAAGACCCAAGAATGGTATAGTTTCTAAGCTACAAAAGGAGCATCGAAAAGGATTGTTTATAATCTACTTAAAGAGCCAAGGGATTGCTCCTAGACTCCTAAAGGAGCCGCGTTTGAAATTGTTTTTAAACTACTAAAAGATCTACGATCTCTAAACTTCCATAAAAGCTGGGATTGTGACTGATTAAAAACCTTTAATTGCCAACATTTAAGATTCGATCTTGACCCCCCGAAGATCTAAGATTAAACTTGTTTATGGACACGCGAAAATTTTAACGACTGACGGTATTCCTGTATTCCTAAAAGGCCTTGTTTCTAAACTCTTAAAACACCTGCAAATAATCGTGTTCCCACAGACTCTTGAAAATCTGAAGGTTCAGCCTTTTTACAGACTCTTAAAAGGCGAACAATTGAATTTGTTTGGAAAGCCTCTAGAGCTTTTAGAAATAAGCTTCTTATTTGATCTTTAAAAACCAAAAAAAAAAAATTAACAAACATTAACTTACTCTTACTTGGAGTGACCAAAGTTTCCTGTGTAGAGACCACAATAGCCTTATCACGAGCCGACAGCAATATCGAAAGACACACCAAATTCTCCTCTCTCGGATTATGTATGGTTCTCACCAATGTCAGCAAACGTACACAATGTGGATCGGTTTTGGGATCAGAGAATTTCTCCACACAAAACCAAGTGGAAAACGATAAACCAGTTTGTGGTGGAAAGATACGATCACCCGAACCTATGCCACCTATAGTATTGGAATCAATGGTGCCACCAGCTGTGGCCGTAGCTTGAGGAGCCAATGAAGGTAAATACAGACAACCAAAGCCTTCGGCAGACATATCCATTTCCACAAAGGGCGGTAGAGTACTAGAACCATGAGCACGAAAATCTCTTGGTGTAGTCATGGATACTAGAGTTTTAATGCGTGTTAAAGGAACAGGACCACCCATTTTATAGGGTTTATTTAAATCTATATCAGCACACGATAAGGGCTCTCCCAAACGTAGAAATTCTCTTAGTTCGGTAGGCTGTAAAGCCTGAGCAGCCAATCTTTCCAATATGTATTGCATGGGCACATGTAAAGGATTGATTTCCTCGGATAAAGCTTTTCGTGAAATATTCAACAGCTGGCCGGCCAAACCATAATCACACATTATCTGTTGATTACGTTCACTGCGTACTAGAGATTTGATAATTTCACTTAGATAAACTTGTAGATTTACAGCCAAGGTATGCTCTTCTGGATGAGTAACACTAGGCAAAAGCTGCAGCATGCATAACACTACACCAGGATGTACAATTCTAGGTTCTGGCGATGGCTGTGTTAGATTCAATTGATTGGGATGAGCTGGTGTTATGGCCAATTCTTTGCTGGGTGAACGATTATGTTGATCATTGAAGAGTGTTATTATATTATTCAAATTGGGAGATTCAAAGTTGTCCAAAGCTATGCTATACAGAAGACGATAGACCACACAAACATAGGACAAAGAACGGGGTATGGAGTTGTTAAAGCTGGTTGGGAAAAGGAAACAAAAGCTTGGTTAATTTTTGTTATGGTTAAAGTTTCTCTAAAGTTTACAATTACCTGTAATTTAAAATATCACCAGAAAACACATCATGATAATATTTTTGCGACACCACATCGGATTTAAAGAAACCCTTGAATTCGGGAAGCTCGGTGTGATTACCAAAGCAACCCAATAATCTCAAAGTGTCACACAAAGAAGCGGTGCAGATTTCCTGATGAAAGAACTTGGCATTGGCGGGTTCAAAACGCATAGCCGTAGCCAAGGTTTGACAAACCATTTGCAGCAATAATATCAAATCGTCTTGAGGTATTTGCTGATCTTCCTCCACATCTTCTGAGGCCAAAGGCTCATCACACAGTTTACCATCTAAAGACACAAAAACACTGGTCAAATAGACAAAACCACCCACTTTACGAAACACAGTACGAGTACGATGAGAATCTTTAAGGCAACCCAAAAGCATATTGAGTATTTGTATTTTAAATTCCACCTGATAAGGAGGCACAGCATGCATAACAGATAGAATGAAAAGCATATCATCATCTCCTCCGGCGGATAAGATCAACTCGCGTATTATACCCAAAGCTTGGGGACGACAATGTTTAAATTTCACCAAATCGTGTATGCACTTAGCGCCACCACATTCTCTAAAAACATTGGCATTGTTGTTGTTGCCACTTAGCAAAATGGTCAAAGCCTCCAGGACATGTTTACCCATAACATCGGTTAAATCCTGTTCCTGTTCCGTTTCCGCTACCACAGCATTTTCCTCATCTTTGGTTATTTTCCTAACATGTTCACTATAACGATTAAGACACGTAACAAACACTTCCAGAATGCCCACCTCCCGATAGACATCCTTAAATACATTATTATGTCTTAGAATATTTAACAGAGTTTTCAAACACAATATACTACAACTAGTCGAATGATTATTTTTCAGCAGCAAGGACAACGATATCAACTCCTTACAGGGTACAAAATTCAATTGGAAAACAATAAATTCCAAAAGATCAAAGAATTTCTCTTGGATTTGGGAACCCTTCAAATGGATGCGTTCGGTAAATTGACTAAGAGTATTTTCAGATTCCAAAATGAAATAGTTGGCATTTTCCGAATGATAGACCCGTGATATGGCATCCAAAATAGTGCAACACAAAGATGTAGAGGTGGCCTTTAGGAAAACAGTTTGTAACACCTGAAAGGCATAAATATTGCGTACACAGGTTTCACGCGATGAAGCCTGGGGCATTTGGAAATTTTGCATTTTAAAGAGAGCATTGATTTGAGCTTGTGGCGGACGCAACTCATTAAAACCGCACATGCAAAGTGAGGAAATCATTAAGACCAGATTGCGTATGGCGGCCTGCACTTCTATGGATTGGGTGCGTGATGTATCGAATCTAAAAATAAAAGCAAAGTTTTGCAGATCTTATAATGAGTCTTGAAAAGCAGTTAAAAAAAACTTACTTGAGCAAAAAATCGCTTAAGAATATATAACCCTGTGATGCCTTAAAATCATCCAATAATATTTGCGATACTTGACTAGAATCTTTCAGAAAACAAAAGACCGTTACAAACATTTCCACTATTTCCAAAGGATTGCCAAATGTAAGGCGACGCATATTATCCACACATAAAGCCATACAGCCTTTGGCTATAAAAAATAAATCGGAAATACATTAGAATTTTGAACTTCTAAAGTACCATTCATCACACTTACAATGTATATAACTGACTACGGCATCGGTTAGACCATGTCGCGATATTGTGGTTAATATTTCAGCAGCATTTTTACGCCACACTATATTGTGTGTGGGGCATGGTGATGTTATGGCCGAGAAGAGTAAAGTTAAATCATCCATTCTTGCCAGTTCCTCGGCTGGATAAGGATACGAACATAATTTCACCAGCAATTGCACAAAAACTTTTTGCAGTAAAGTACGTCTTTCGAATGCATTGAAATCACTGGGTGTTTCGGAGGGTGAATCATCCTCTACCGCGGGTAGATCAAAGAAGAGATATAGACATTTAACCAATGTCGAGGGCACGGCAGCAGCTGTCATAACCTAGAAGAAAAATGGGAAATGTTATGGGGCTGTACTAGAACAGAATTCCAAAAGAAGCATAACAGAACTGTAAGAGAATTAGAACAGAACTAGAACAGAACTAGAACAGAACTAGAACAGAACTAGAACAGAACTAGAACAGAACTAAAACAGAACAAGAAAAGAACAGAACAGAAAAAAAAACTAGAACAGAACTAGAACAGAACTAGAACAGAACTAGAACAGAACTAGAACAGAACTAGAACAGAACTAGAACAGAACTAACAGAAATGAACAGAACTAGAAAAAGAACTAGAACAGAACTAGAACAGAACTAGAACAGAACTAGAACAGAACTAGAACAGAACTAGAAACAGAACTAGAACAGAACTAGAACAGAACTAGAACAGAACTAGAACAGAACTAGAACAGAACTAGAACAGAACTAGAACAGAACTAGAACAGAACTAGAACAGAACTAGAACAGAACTTGAACAGAACTAGAACAGAAATAGAACAGAACTAGAACAGAACTAGAACAGAACTAGAACAGAACTAGAACAGAACTAGAACAGAACTAGAACAGAACTAGAACAGAACTAGAACAGAACTAGAACAGAACTAGAACAGAACTAGAACAGAACTAGAACAGAACTAGAACAGAACTAGAACAGAACTAGAACAGAACTAGAACAGAACGAGAACAGAACTAGAACAGAACTAGAACAGAGAACTAGAACAGAACAGAACAGAGAACAGAACTAGAACAGAACTAGAACAGAACTAGAACAGAACTAGAACAGAACTAGAACAGAACTAGAACAGAACTAGAACAGAACTAGAACAGAACTAGAACAGAACTAGAACAGAACTAGAACAGAACTAGAACAGAACTAGAACAGAACTAGAACAGAACTAGAACAGAACTAGAACAAACTAGAACAGAACTAGAACAGAACTAGAACTGAACTAGAACAGAACTAGAACAGAACTTGAACAGAACTAGAACAGAACTAGAACAGAACTAGAACTAGAACAGAACTAGAACAGAACTAGAACAGAACTAGAACAGAACTAGAACAGAACTAGAACAGAACTAGAACAGAACTAGAACAGAACTAGAACAGAACTAGAACAGAACTAGAACAGAACTAGAACAGAACTAGAACAGAACTAGAACAGAACTAGAACAGAACTAGAACAGAACTAGAACAGAACTAGAACAGAACTAGAACAGAACTAGAACAGAACTAGAACAGAACTAGAACAGAACTAGAACAGAACTAGAACAGAACTAGAACAGAACTAGAACAGAACTAGAACAGAACTAGAACAGAACTACTAGAACAGAACTAGAACAGAACTAGAACTGAACTAGAACAGAACTAGAACAGAACTAGAACAGAACTAGAACAGAACTAGAACAGAACAGACTAGAACAGAACTAGAACAGAACTAGAACAGAACTAACAGAACTACAGAACTAGAACAGAACTAGAACAGAACTAGAACAGAACTAGAACAGAACTAGAACAGAACTAGAAAGAACTAGAACAGAACTAGCACAGAAATAAAACAGAACTGGAACAGAACTAGAACAGAACTAGAACAGAACTAGAACAGAACTAGAACAGAACTAGAACAGAACTAGAACAGAACTAGAAAAGAACTAGAACAGCACTAGAACAGAACTAGAACAGAACTAGAACAGAACTAGAACAGAACTAGAACAGAACTAGAACTGAACTAGAACTGAACTAGAACTGAACTAGAACAGAACTAGAACAGAACTAGAACAGAACTAGAACAGAACTAGAACAGAACTAGAACAGAACTGAACTAGAACAGAACTAGAACAGAACTAGAACAGAACTAGAACAGAACTAGAACAGAACTAGAACAGAACTAGAACAGAACTAGAAAGAAACTAGAACAGAAATAGAACTAGAACAGAACTAGAACAGAACTAGAACAGAACTAGAACAGAACTAGAACAGAACTAGAACAGAACTAGAACAGAACTAGAACAGAACTAGAACAGAACTAGAACAGAACTAGAACAGAACTAGAACAGAACTAGAACAGAACTAGAACTGAACTAGAACTGAACTAGAACTGAACTAGAACAGAACTAGAACAGAACTAGAACAGAACTAGAACAGAACTAGAACAGAACTAGAACAGAACTAGAACAGAACTAGAACAGAACTAGAACAGAACTAGAACAGAACTAGAACAGAACTAGAACAGAACTAGAACAGAACTAGAACAGAACTAGAACAGAACTAGAACAGAACTAGAACAGAACTAGAACAGAACTAGAACAGAACTAGAACAGAATTAGAATAGAACTAGAACAGAACTAAAACTGAACTATATCTTAACGTGCTTTTAGCTTTCTTTAACGAAATAATTCCAATTATGTTTGCATACTTTTTCGTAGCACTGTTAGTATTCTGAATTCATACAAACAAGAGCATAAGCAATCGATTATATCATGTTATCATTGTGCATTTAATTTGAAAATCGTTAAACTTTTCTCTAAACAATTAACAAGAAAACATTTTGCTTTCATGCAAGGATTATATCCAGTTCTCTCAAGTGCTATACAAACATACGGTAAACAATAAAATCTGTTAAATTCCTCTTGTTCCTCTGTTCCCACTTACCTGTATTAAAGACACATCACCATTTGCTAATAAATTTAATGTTGACAATAGCATCCAACCGCTACTTGTCTCTTCGGTTGTTTCAATTTCCAAGAACTTAACAATTGCTATCGAAGCTGCTTCTGTGCTTTGATTAGAGGCACGTTTACGTATTTCGCTAACCATGAGACGTGAGACTTGTTGGCAGAAAGCAACAACATCCCAAAATTTCTCACTCATATCCGAAGCGGGACAAGCACTAAAAACCTGTAAAATAGTAAAGATAATACAATTAAAACTAAAAGTTTTCCTTTTTTAGTTGACATCCTTTCGTCCTTCCGTTACCTTGCAAAATAATGGCAACATTTGATATAGTTTCATGTCTCTTTCTTGTTCGCTGAGTGGTTCTTTGGGATGGGTATATTCATTGAATAGTTTTTTCAATGTATGCAAACTTATCTGTACACGAGCATCCATCATGGCATCCTCACTGCCACCGGTGGGTAGTGATGAGCCACCATTGGCATTATGGCCACCAGAGGTGCTGTTAGAGCCAGCACTACCGTTGCCAGCTGGTGCACTACCCGTGCCACGTAATTTACGCATTACATTCATTGTATGGGTATCCTTGTTACTCTCTCCCCTCCCTGCAAGCAGCAGTTACTTTTATAACTTCTCACTTCTGTTCTTTAGAGCTTTAAAAGCTCTTAAAGATGTTTACTTAAAACTCCCTCTGGAGGGGTTTTATATTTGATTTGCTTTAACTGCTTTAACTCTCAAAGAATGTTAAATGATTTGAAAATCTTTATGGAAATCTGTAAGAAAAAAAAGTTTACAAAACCAATTAATTGAAATTAATCTTTTCTTGGGAATAACGCTAAAATGATATAATTCTCGACAAGTGTTTTGCATTTGTATGAAAATGTTTTTTAAAATTAATTGAATCAAATACTTAGACAAAGAAGAAAAAATATTGAGTGTGTAAGTTTAATTGATGATTATACACACAAGTTTATAAAACAATTGAAATAGAGGGAGGTTGGGACAGGAGTGTATATGTTGCTAACATTGAATATTTAATTATTAAATTAAAATGCGAATAAATAAAGTTATCCGACGTTATAAATAGTTTTAGTGTAAATGGTTATTCGGGTTTTTGTCTATTCTGAAAAGAACAGAACTAGAACAGACTTAGAACAGAACTAGAATAGAACTAGAACAGAACTAGAACAGAACTTGAACAGAACTAGAACGGAACTAGAACAGAACTAGAACAGAACAAGAACAGAACTAGAACAGAACTAGAACAGAACTAGAACAGAACTAGAACAGAACTAGAACAGAACTAGAACAGAACTAGAACAGAACTAGAACAGAACTAGAACAGAACCAGAACAGAACTAGAACAGAACTAGAACAGAACCAGAACAGAACTAGAACAAAACTAGAACAGAACTAGAACAGAACTAGAACAGAACTAGAACAGAACTAGAACAGAACTAGAACAGAACTAGAACAGAACTAGAACAGAACTAGAACAGAACTAGAACAGAACTAGAACAGAACTAGAACTGAACTAGAACTAAACTAGAACTGAACTAGAACTGAACTAGAACTGAACTAGAACTGAACTAGAACTGAACTAGATCTGAACTAGAACTAAACTAGAACTGAACTAGAACTGAACTAGAACTGAACTAGAACTGAACTAGAACTGAAATAGAATTGAAATAGAACTGAACTAGAACTGAACTAGAACTGATCCAGAACTGAACCAGAACTGAATTAGAACTGAACTAGAACTGAACTAGAACAGAACTAGAGCTGAACAAGAACAGAACTAGAACAGAACTAGAACAGAACTAGAACAGAACTAGAACAGAACTAGAACTAGAACTGAACTAGAACTAAACTAGAACTAGAACTGAACTAGAACTGAACTAGAACTGAACTAGAACTAAACTAGAACTGAACTAGAACTCAACTAGAACTGAACTAGAACTGAAATAGAATTGAAATAGAACTGAACTAGAACTGATCTAGAACTGAACCAGAACTGAACTAGAACTGAACCAGAACTGAACTAGAACTGAACTAGAACTGAACTAGAACAGAACTAGAACAGAACTAGAGCTGAACTAGAACTGAACTAGAACTGAACTAGAACTGAACTAGAACTGAACTAGAACTGAACTAGAACTGAACTAGAACTGAACTAGAACTGAACTAGAACTGAACTAGAACTAAACTAGAACTGAACTAGAACTCAACTAGAACTGAACTAGAACTGAAATAGAATTGAAATAGAACTGAACTAGAACTGATCTAGAACTGAACCAGAACTGAATTAGAACTGAACTAGAACTGAACTTGAACTGATCTAGAACTGAACTAGAACTGAACTAGAACTGAAGTAGAACTGAACTAGAACTGAACTAGAACTGAACTAGAAACTGAACTAGAACTGAACTAGAACTGAACTAGAACTGAACTAGAACTGAACTAGAACTGAACTAGAACTGAACTAGAACTGAACTAGAACTGAACTAGAACTGAACTAGAACTGAACTAGAACTGACTGACTAGAACTGAACTAGAACTGAACTAGAACTGAACTAGAACTGAACTAGAAACTGAACTAGAACTGAACTAGAACTGAACTAGAACTGACTAGAACTGAACAAACTGAACCGAGAACTGAACTAGAACTGAACCAGAACTGAACTAGAACTGAACTAGAACTGAACTAGAACTGAACTAGAACTAAACTGAACTAGAACTGAACTAGAACTGAACTAGAACTGAACTAGAACTGAACTAGAACTGAACTAGAACTGAACTAGAACTGAACTAGAACTGAACTAGAACTGAACTAGAACTGAACTAGAACTGAACTAGAACTGAACTAGAACTGAACTAGAACTGAACTAGAACTGAACTAGAACTGAACTAGAACTGAACTAGAACTGAACTAGATCTGAACTAGAACTGAACTAGAGCTGAACTAGAACTGAACTAGAACTGAACTAGAACTGAACTAGAACTGAACTAGAACTGAACTAGAACTGAACTAGAACTGAACTAGAACTGAACTAGAACTGAACTAGAACTGAACTAGAACTGAACTAGAACTGAACTAGAACTGAACTAGAACTGAACTAGAACTGAACTAGAACTGAACTAGAACTGAACTAGAACTGAACTAGAACTGAACTAGAACTGAACTAGAACTGAACTAGAACTGAACTAGAACTGAACTAGAACTAGAACTGAAGACTAGAACTGAACTAGACTGAACTAGAACTGAACTAGAACTGAAACTAGAAGCTGAACTAGAACTGAACTAGAACTGAACTAGAACTGAACAGAACTGAACTAGAACTGAACTAGAACTGAACTAGAACTGAACTAGAACTGAACTAGAACTGAACTAGAACTGAACTAGAACTGAACTAGACTGAACTAGAACGACTTAGACTGAACTAGAACTGAACTAGAACTGAACTAGAACTGAACTAGAACTGAACTAGAACTGAACTAGAACTGGAACTAGAACTGAACTAGAACTGAACTAGAACTGAACTAGAACTGAACTAGAACTGAACTAGAACTGAACTAGAACTGAACTAGAACTGAACTAGAACTGAACTAGAACTGAACTAGAACTGAACTAGACTGAACTAGAACTAGAACTGAACTAGAACTGAAACTAGAACTGAACTAGAACTGAACTAGAACTAGAACTAACTAGAACTGAACTAGAACTGAACTAGAACTGAACTAGAACTGAACTAGAACTGAACTAGAAACTGAACTAGAACTGAACTAGAACTGAACTAGAACTGAACTAGAACTGAACTAGAACTGAACTAGAACTGAACTAGAACTGAACTAGAACTGAACTAGAACTGAACTAGAACTGAACTACTGAACTAGACTGAACATGAACTAGAACTGAATTAGAACGGAATTTCGATGCTTAATTTTTTAATTTTTCAACCTACCCTCGTATATGATAACATAAACAATAATTAAGCTATAAATATTTGTATCAAAATCAAAACATGATTGATTTCACAGGAATTCAATGCGAACCGTTTAATTCTTATCATTCGACAGTTTGAGACAAATATTAAGAAAATTTTTAACCGATTTTTTATAATCTATATAAATATATAAATTTTATATAAACTTCCTCAATATTATATTATAAATAAACTAAATAAACTATTTATAATTTAATAAATGAGCACATTTACCATATCTTTAACAATTTAAAATAGATTTATTTCCGCACTATTTTATAACAAATGATTTAAAATATTTACAAACAATTTTTTGTGATTTGTAGACAAAACAACAATGCAAAATTATAATAAAAAATTAAAAAAAGTACATACAACGATAAGACAAATGACAGAAATGCTAATGAAAATAATAACAACAATTTAATTATTGAATAAATATGAACACATATGTACTGCACAGCAGGGACGGAAAAACGGGAATTATAAAAATGCTGATTTTTGCAAAAAGTTTCGAGAGATGAAAATGTAATGAGTTTAATGGCAGTTCAGTTCTAGCTTAGTTCTAGTTCAAGAGTACTTTAAAGCATTTCATTACTCTCGCAATTCCCATCCCTGCCATAGATACATGAGACAAATTACAACAAGTGTTATTGCATGGTACTGATGAATCACTTTAACATATAAAAAAAGACAATAACAATATCAATATTTGTTTATTACTCTTCCAATACCCCCTCAACTCCCCTCCACCACCTACACACGGCCCTTTCGTATCTGGTTCTTTTCTTACTATCGCATTTTATTATCTAAATCAAGTAGTAATTGCGTTCTGTGGTGTTCTGCTCATCGTCAGAGTTGTTAATAATTTGTTATTAAACAATTGATAAACAAAACAAATCATGTACAGAGGGAGCGTATTTGAAATTTTAATTGATGAGTGTGGGTTTATAAAAATGTAAATATAAAAATATACATATATTTTTTAAAGAAAAACTCCCACAAAATGTGGAAATTTATATGTGAGTTGATGATTAAAAATAATGCATAATCAGCACAATATGTATGTATTGTGGAAAAAACGCAGAGCTTTATATGGTTTTGGGATGGATGTCTTAATCTATATTTAATTTTCAACGCAATAAAAAAAGATAAAGAAAATTAAAATATAGCAAGAAATTTACTTAAATAAAGTATTTATAAAAGCTTTACTATAAGATCATATACTGCTAAAAAGCTGAATTTGTGAAGCTTTTAACAGAATATAACTAGAAAAGAACTAGTTAAGAACTAGAACAGAACTAGAACAGAACTAGAACAGAACTAGAACAGAAGTAAAACTAGAACAGAAGTAGAACTAGAACAGAAGTAGAACTAGAACAGAAGTAGAACTAGAACAGAAGTAGAACTAGAACAGAAGTAGAACTAGAACAGAAGTAGAACTAGAACAGAACTAGAACAAAACTAGAACAGAACTAGAACAGAACGAGAACAGAACTAGAACAGAACCAGAACAGAACTAGAACAGAACTAGAACAGAACTAGAACAGAACTAGAACAAAACTAGAACAGAACTAGAACAGAACTAGA